TCAATATGTGAAACTGATGGAGCATGATTTAGGACCGTTTGATTGTATGTTTCTCAAACAGTCTTAGGTTTCTATATAAATGGAACTACACTGGTGAGGTGATCTGGTGGCTGAGAACAATTGATCTGACTACTACACAAGATAAGTGGCAAAGATAAATGGTCAAAATCAATAATGAATTGGTTCACAAGTCATATTAAGAGGAAAAAAGGTAGACCATTCAGAAGATGGGTGGATTATATTAAAGCCGTAGCAGGAGGTTTATGGACAAGAATTGCCAAAGACAGAGAGGAATGGAAAAGGTTGGAGGAGGCCTTTGTCAATAAATGACATAACTATTTAGCATTATCAATGCTAAATAGTTAAGGATAGAGTTAAGACTTTAATGTATAAAGTATATAAAATAAAATTGTTAACAAAAAGAAAATTATGATATGTAAATGAAATACTGTCTGAATAAAGGCTATTATTATTATTATTACTACACAAGACTTTCGTGATTTTAATAAATTTTATTCTTGATTCAACAAGCACGAAATCGTTTCAAAATATCGGGGAAAATGCTTACGTAACGCAATAACTATCCAGATTTAATATCCGAGATCGGAAACTCATTTCCTAGAGTTCGTCAAACAAAATACATTACGATTAGGAGTTCGAATTTCACATCACCAATTCTATGGTAGAGTTTAAGTCAGAACGTGCTTAAGTTTTAGTTTGAATGGTAATATTTGATGTCTAATCAAATTTTAAGGACGTCGTGTTTGAACAAAAAAAAACATAGATTCTCAATTCTGGTTGTGTAAATTTCTTCCAAATCACTGTCTCTGATTCAAAATTTAATTAGATGTTTAATTTACAGCCATTTTTCTATTGTACACATTCCAATTTTAAATTTAAAAACTCATAGTTCGTTTTGACTTTCCAAAACGAACTATAAGCGAAACGAACGAGCCCATAAGTCACTAGGCAACTTAGATGGGGTCTGCATCAAAATCCCAAAAGAATAAAAATCGTTTTGGACAGTTAAAAAAACCAAGGTAAAATGATTTGGACTTTAATCGGAGAAAAAGTTTCTAGAAGCATTTCGATTTACATAATATCTGTATATATTACATTTACGACTAATATGAGCAATCCGAAATTCGTAACAAAATTATTGGTAACTAGCTGAACCGACAGACTTCGTACTGCCTCAATCAATAAATAAAAGACCTAAACTTTTGTATAAAATAAACTTAAAAAAAAACAAAAGGAAAAGGAAGGACAGGGGACAAAGGAAAAACTTTATATAATTCCGAGCATTTTCATATTTATTCTTTATCCTGTATTTTATCCTTTTTAACCTTCTCTGGACTTTTAGCCGAATCGGTCCCGCCGTTCTCGAGTTTTAGCGAGACTAACGAACAGCAATCCATTTTTATATATGTATAGAGATGTTTGAACACAGGATAGGTACAAAAGTCCATTAGTCCTCGACACAGCGTTCCGTTTTATTCGATAATTCGAAGCAATAGCGCGTTCAATACCCTCCCAGTTCGGAACGTAGCGTAGAATGGAACTGCGAGATTGATTTATGAATCCCATCTAACCGATCCATTTTATTGGGGGCGGATATTTGAAAGGGTGCAAGGATATGAAAAATTGTGTTTCGTGGTATCTGCTTTTATTAAATTGGCTTATTTATTTATGAGAAAAAGATATCAAATAAAAATTATAATAAATTATAAGTTTAATAACTGGGAAGAAATTACGCACGGTCTAACAGTTCTAAGGTCTCAATATAGTTACAACGTCTTGTAAGAGAGTCCATGCACCCTGCCCATTTCTGCCGTGATGCAGTAATGCGTTTCGGTTTGAAGGGCGATGCAGCCGTTTTAACTATTCTGGAGATCTAAGAACTTATATCTCAAGGTGGGTGGCGCATTTACGTTGTAGATGTCTATGGACTCCGGTAGCCACTTAACATCAGGTGGGCCATGAGATCGTCCACTCAATTAAGCAATATTTTTTTTTTGATAATAAGCACCCAGTCAAATAGCAAAGAAACCTGTTTATCAAAAGAATGTTTGCTTGATGTCGGGATCGAACCTACGACCCTCGACGCGACAGTTAAGGGCGTTAGCTACTGTACCACCATCAGTCAGTTAAGATTTAAGCTTATTTATTATTTATTATAAGCTGAATAAGCTTATGGCTCACATCATTGTCTGTTTATCGACACCCCTAAATGCCGCGCATGCCACCATCTATCTTGAGACTCCTGTCTCAAGACCTCATGTCGAAGTCCTGATTAAATTGAATAACGATAGCTTCACCCATCAAAACGGAGTCCGCGATTGCGAAATTAGTAGAAATATGTAGATTGGTGGCTATCGTTTTGTTACGAATTCTGCTCTAATATCAGTCAATGAATCTACGTGTCTAATTGGAAGGTTCTGGTTTTAATTAAGGGCTAACTGGATCATAGCTTAGGCAGTTGATACTTTAGAGAGAGGATTGATGTTCGGTAATAAATAAAGGTCGGATTAAATTGACCTCAAAGTTTGAGTAATAATTTATAGTTGTAGTTATTTAATATTTTTAATGATTACTGACCCCGCTTGTACCAGTGAACGGTTATATAGAAATTGATGTTTATCTACTCCAGTAACCGCTGAACCCAAATTCAGTCCAAGAAAAACCGTCAAATCGTCCCTAATAACCATCTTTCAGAGAAGAAAAATAATAATTTTTAAATCCCAAAAAAACGTGTATCACTTTCGCACGCGCCATTACCTTTGGCGTGCTGTGATGCGTGTAACGGATTTTTTATGCGCAGAAAAGCGTTAAGCTGTAACAGAACGTACTTAACGACCGGGCTTATTGCTTAGCGATTCGTGTGTTTTTCGGAGCTTTTCAAAATTATCTTAAAATTATTAACTGACCAAATTTTATGGGTGGAATGGCTGGAAACGAGAGTTTAATCTGACAATTCTATGATCGGGTCAAGGCGGAAGCTGTTATATTACATTCAAAAAATGATACAATGACCACAGTATGGAAAATGACGTGTTTTAAGACTCATGATGTGTAACGTATACGCGGCTTTAAGGCAGAGTAACAATAAAAAAAAATACATTCTCAGCGATTGTTAAGCTGCTCTTGTGACACTCAGGACCTCTAGAAATAGACTCTACACTGATGCTGAAGTATATGTGGACCTTAAAATGGTTGGATCGATACAGCAGTGTCGAACAAGTCTGGTTATATGGACGTATTTGTGTCGTAAGAAATGACTGTTGAGATGATGTGGAAACGACTGATGGTCTAGACGTATCGGCTATGACAAAGTAACGATAGCCATATCGAGAAATTCCAATTGCGATGGGCAATAAGCACTGAGGACCCTTCCTCCGGAACCTGCACAGGATATTTCGGCTCTGGGCAGCTGCCGATGAACCTGGCTGACGACGCAACCTGCCATTTCAGCATTTTGAAGGTGGAAGTGTACCACATACTCGGCTGTTATATTTGCCTACTAAAGATAAAAATTAAAATCTTGGGCAACATGGAAGGAGAAAACATGTTGCGCCGACCCCAGGTGACTGGGAGAAGGGCAGGAGAAAGATGATGATGATGATGAGGTGCCAGTACAGGAGAAAGACATAAAATTTCTCAAGGACAATTGCTTGCCTAGCCTTCCGTGCGTGGCTTCGTCCGCTTAGACTACTCTTCGAATGGTGTGGGCGGAAATCGTGATCAGTAGGATAAAAGGTATACTGTATTAATACTCCCAAGATTTGAACTGTTTCCATAGCGAATTTCGTTACAATTACTTCAGTGGCTTGAGCGTGGAAAAGTTACAGAGACTTTTCATTTCAACATTATTATATTCTTATTTAAAGTATTAATTTAATATGGTTTATCAAAACGCACAGAATTTTAAGGAAATAAGGTGATATGAATTTACAGCTACTCACGAATTGGCAGGAATCTCTGGCATTCTCAAAACTAAGCATTTGTTTGACTGTGTGCCACCACGAGCTCAAGAAAATTAATGATGACTTCATTTAACCGAACCTCTTTTATGTTTTGCAAAAATGTCTCTTATACGGCAGAGGGTAGCGTACATTTTACATTATAGCTTATTACCGAATAACAACCGCCATTAAATGATCGTGTCATTCTTGAGCAACTACTTAATATATACACTTCTCTTCCTTAACAATTAACAAAAGCGTACTTATTCTATGAACATAAGAGTTATTGCTATGTGTTCGCTATCACAATTAAATCTATACACTAACGCTTAATGTTTTTTCTTTATTTGTTTTGTATTTAATTGCGACTTGCGACCAAAAATTGATTCGTAAGAATTATCGTCAAAAACTTTGTTCGGGAAGTTAAAATATAAGTCCTCAATTCCTTTGTGATTTCGTCTCGTATTTGTTCAGAGCACTTGCGTACCCTTCTATCTACTCGTGTGATACTATTTCAGAAAGATTCCCTCGAGGGCTTCCGATATTTGTACTAAGTCTCAATTCAATCAGACAAACAATCCACAGGTGCATTTAATATCAACGCACAGACTATCAAAGCCATACAATGTTTAAAGATGACAACAAATTATTTATTAAATTTTATTGATCATTTTAAATTATGACAATCGATATATGTTTGCTGTGTTAAACAACGTTTTAATAAGAACGTTAATGTTTTTTGGAACGAAGTTCCTTATGAGGCGATGCGGAGGGGTACCCTAACCGGGAAAAAACGTCCGTAACGTAAGATTTTTATTAATAATGCACGCACTGTACGACTTAACTTTGTAATAACGTACAAAAAATTACATATTATTATTATATATTATTTTATAAATCATTGTGAATAAAATAAAGTTGATAACTTTGTAAAGTAGTTTTTTTTATATTTTTATCAATAAAAACCGAATAATTATTTTCTTTATACCTCGAATAGAACTTAAAATTAATATTTTTTATAATAAGGAGCTTCGTTCCTATCCGGTGCTCCACGACACCACACGTCTTTTTTTTTTTTTTATACTACCAAAAAGCAATCAATTGTTTAGTCGCACGTCAGCTAATTACTACACAAACTGAGCCGTACCCGTGTCCTTCCAACAACCGAACAAACAGGGCAGGGCGCACATCAGCGTGTTCTTAAACGCGTCCCGGAAATCTCGATTGAAATACGCGTAAATCAGTGGATTCAAGGCCGAATTGAAATAGCCGATCCAGAAAAGCACACCGACCACAACAGAAGGCGTCTCGCAAGGCTCCCCGCACACGTTCGTCGTAACGTACCTGAGAAAATTGAATATTAATACATTTAGTTGTCACTAATTGCCGACTAATGGGGTGCCAAAGTGATTTAACATGTCTCAGTGCCTCATGTACGGGTATATCGGAGTTTGATTAATGGATTCTCAAATGTAATTATTTCGAATATTTTCCGTATAAAATTAAAGAACAAAGTGATAATTAAGGTAACATTTAATTAGCGTAATTAACGTCACACGGGTTGGCTGTTGGTACCTTGTATATTCATGATACTGAAGCCAAAGAACCATGCGTTACTGTTCAAAGAATCGGTGAGTCATCATAGGCTATAATTGGGATTTCGATCTAATATCACAAGGATTTATTAACGTCTATCACACCCGGTAATCACTTAACATCGAGCGGGTCGTATGATCGTTAATCTGTCGAAGCAAAAATGAAGGCAGGTCCCAAACCTCCATCTAATGCAAAAATAAAAAAAGTGTGTGTGTCCGCTCCGACGCACGACTGGAGTTTACTGGATATAAAAAATTAAACGAAACAATACGAGAAATAGTTCTATATTACGACAACACGATACACTACAGATTATTAACAAATTAACGAGACACAAAACAAACGACTAACAAATATATGAAAATACAATAATGAGAGAAACGCGCGATCAGTACGAGGCTTTGTGGCGGACTGCCGGCGCAGCAGCCCGGCGCGCATTTCGTGTGACATGCGCAATCAGGCGCATAACGCATTTCGTGTGACATGCTAGTACGATTTTGGTCCCCATAATTTTCATACCCCGGGCCTATATATGTAAATCGATTCTAAAGGAGTAAACTCCAATTAAAAGCCTCTAAATACAAAGTCGAGCTATCTTACAAGGTTAAGCAAGCTAGTTGATAAATGTGTGACATATTAGAAAATTTTATTATCATCATAATCAGCCCACAGACATCCACTGCAATAGGCCATCGCCAAGGTTTGCCACGACACGGGCTTTACGCAACCTACATCCAGCAGATTCCCGTGGTCTTTCAGGAAAAGAACAATACCTCCCCATCACGTCCAGTGGGTGTCGTAAAAGGCGATTGATGGTCCAGAGGAGAGGCAGCAGCGTTCTCCGACCACTACGATCCGCTAATTCGCACAACAAGCTTGATGATTATTCTTTTTTTTATTGCCCTTGTAGGCAGATACGTCCCACGTGATGGTGAGTGGTTACCGTCGCCCATAGACTTCAGCAATGCATAGCCAAGCCGCCGCCTACCGTAAAATTCCGATTCCTTTGTAAATTCTTGAACTTACCAAAGAAAAAATGGTAGCCAGCACAGCAGGAATGCTCCTACAATGATGCCAAGTGTACGCGCTGCTTTGTGCTCAGCACGCCACGACTTCCCGGCGGCACGAAGCGTTGCCCCTTTAGAAGAGAAGACAAAACACAAACAATTTTTATTAGAGAGTAAGTCTCAGGGTTCGTTTATTTAAAAAATGACCGTAATCGTTAATGATTTTAAGAGTTTGTTTTGATTGTCATTTGAACAATGAGATATTGTTTAGTCTAGAATCAAAAAAATACGGGTCAAGCGCTGTGACGCCAGTGTACAAGAACGGCACGTGGATAGAAAAGGATATCAATCAAGTTTTTTATTTATTTATTGCTTAGATGATTGGACGAGCTCACAGCCCACCTGGTGTTAAGTGGTTACTGGAGCCCATATACATCTATAATGTAAATGCGACACTCACCTTGAGATATAAGTTCTAAGGTGTTAGTATAGTTACCACGGCTGCCCTACTCTTCAAACCGAAACGCATTACTGCTTCATGGTAGAAATAGGCAGGGTGGTGATACCTACCCGTGCGGACTCACAAGAGGTCCAACCACCATTAATTACGCAAACTATATTTTTACGGGTTTGATTTTTATTACACGATGTTATTCCTTCACCGTGGAAGTAAATCGTGAACATTTGTCAAGTACCTATTTCATTAGAAAAATTGGTACCCGCCTGCAGGATTCGAAAACAGGTGCATCGCTAGATACGAATGTAACGGACTTCATATCCTTTAGGCCACGACGACTTCGAAACTATATAGACAATTTACTATACTCGGAGTCTATGTGGACAGTATGGGGAAAGCTTTGTTCAATAAATCGATAATGCAAGGTGACTCAAGCTTATTGAATCAAAGGCTTTTGCTTGCATAATCCGAGTCGACAAATTCAGGGCCATATTAAGTGGACAACGGAGTACTTAGGAACCATCACGTGCATGCCTTCGTCGAGACACGGTCCTTGACCTCAGGGTCGATTTCGCGATTGTATCGTAGAACAGCGACCCCGTCATTCAATTTAAACACACGAAAGTTTCGCGGCAGAATAGCTGTAATAATCAGGTAGAGACGCTGCGAATTCTCCTGTGATACACTTAATACCATAGAGAAATACGGTGGTGCTATTCTAAGCTGAATTTATATAGCCGGAAACATACTTTATCCTGATGAAAGGAAAAAGAAAATAAAAAAAAGATGTGTGGTGTCGTGGGACACCGGATAGGAACGAAGTTCTTTATTATAAAAATATTAATTTGAAGTTCTATTCGAGGTATAAAGAAAATTATTATTCGGGTATACATTTTTTAAATGTTTTTTTTATTGATAAAAATATATAAAAAACAACTTTACAAAGTTATCAAGTTTATTTATTCACAATGATTAAAATATATAATAATAATATACAAAGAATCAGCTATTTATATGAATAATAATAATAACCGTCATCACGTAGACTATACATTAGACACTGTATAGCCATCATACTCAGACTTATACATAAATAATAAAAATCTTACGGACGTTTTTTCCCGGTTAGAGTACCCCTCCGCATCGTCCCATAAGGAACTTCGTTCTAAAAAATATTGAAGCCCTATTTAAGATATTGTTCACCGTTTATTAGGTCTATTTAGTACTGAACTATCTTATACATTTAAACGAGCAATTCTTGTATATATATAATCGGAATCTCGGAAACGGCTCCAACGATTTTCATAAAATTTAGTATACAGGGGATTTCGGAGGCGATAAATCGATCTAGCTATGATTTATTTTCAGAAAATGTTGTTGTTTTCGTGTTTTCAATAATCAACTTTATCGATAATTCCCGACATCTATTCGCGAATAATAATACTATTTTTCATAATTGTTTTAAAGACACAATAACACTAAAGCTATTTCAGCAGATGGCGTTGTTAAGCCACCCGAAGCCACTAAAAATGCCTAAACGATCTTAGAATATTTCATCATTTTATCAATACTAGAGGTCCCGCAGTAGTCGAAATTCGACTATAATTAATTGGAATTGTAAGTTTGTACACTATTATGATTGTATTTTATACTTTTATAATCACAAATTTTGCCAAGACTACACTATAAAAAATATTAACAAAGACTAACAATATTTAATCTATTCTCAATTTGACAACAGACGCCAAGAACAAAAGTTTGACAATAAATAGTATGCATGCGTGTGTGCGTCAAATACATGGTATGTAGTGTGTGTAATGTTTTCTTTATTGATTTAATGTACCTTTTACGCATTATTTAAAAAAAATATTATCATTGTGCACTTCTTCTCTATATTCTGTATAAGTGTGGAAAATTTCATACTCCTCCGTCCGCGTAATTTTCGTAAAAAGGGATACAAAGTTTTTGCTTCACGTATTAATATATAGATAGGAGTACATCACGCGATTATAAGACGGGAACTTTTCATCGCAGGACTGACAACAGACATTTTGTTGTTCGTAATACGTAAGAAAATTGGATGTTCTACTGTTTTTTTGCGAGTCACATTACGTAATCAAAACTAATTTTTTGATTTAATCTCACTTTTAATAATTTCACTGTACTGTTTCGAACGTTGAAAATTCTTTAGTTTTTCTGGTCATCGATGACGAATAAGGAATTATGGATTGACATTTGAATATTGTGGTAACGACCTTTTTAACCGGCTTCAAAAAGGTTGTCAATTCGACTGTATGTTTTTTTTTATGTTGTTACCTCATGTCATTTGACTGGGATTTTGATGATTTATTTATTTATTAGAAAGATGACGCTTCCCGTGTGGTCCCATTTCAATTTCGTCCAGTTCTGATAATGGTATCCATGAGAAAACCATATAAGTCTTAAATTTGCATTAAGTACGTGCGCGACAAATAGATGAATAACTCAATAACTCAATATCACGCCAACCGATTTCGATGATTATTGTTTTTAGTGTATATCAATTGGTTTTGGAATATTTTTTTTTCTTTTTTAAATCGGTTTTTGTTAAAGCATGTCTATTTACAATTATTATTTAATTAAATATTTATTGACATTTACGTTTCTTTTCTGTGTGAAAAGTAAAATTAAACTATACATGAAAGATTGAACAATAGAAGCAGTTTCAATTATATTTACGATTGATGAAAATTCAAGAAAATACTAAAAGATAAATTTTCAAATTAAATACGAAATAATAAAACAATGAATATAATTTCTTGCGAACAGTATACATCAAGAATGCTTAGAATATAGTTTTGTTGAAATCCAAACCTTTTGATTGCCCAGGCTGTAGAGAAATAAAGTTATAATTTATTTTGTTTTAAATTGTAATAATTTACCGAGGCCTCGATTATGAGTCATTGACCTTGATTTATAGTAATAATCTGCTCCGCTTTTAATATAGATAAGTTTTGAGTGCTATAAATATACAAACGAGGTCGTGTACCCGTGTATATAATGTTAAGTGGCTACCGAAGTCCACGCCACAAACCTATTATCAACTATAGATATGTATATTAGGCGGAGCTCTCGTGGTATTAGAATCTTGTCAGTTGATTTTTATCCTCATCCGCCCATCTAAGCAATAAAAAAAATTATGCCGCCTGCCCACCTGGTTGTTAAGTAGTTACTGGAGCCCATAGACATCTTTTTTTTTTATTTTTTTTTTATTGCCTTTGTAGGCAGACGAGCACACGGCCCACCTGATGGTAAGTGGTCACCGTCGCTCATGGACGTCAGCAATGCCAGGGGCAGAGCCAAGCCGCTGCCTACCATTGGCGTACATCTACAACGTAAATGCGCCACCCACCTTGAGATATAAGTTCTAAGGTCCCAATATAGTTACAACGACTACCCCACCCTTCAAGCCGAAACGCATTACTGCTTCACGGCAAAAATGGGCAGGATGGTGGTACCTATCCGCGCGGACTCACAAGAGGTCCTACCACCAGTAATTACGCAAATTTGCGGGTTTGATTTTTATTACACGATGTTATTCCTTCACCGTGGATAAATATTATTAATTAATTATCCTTAGAAATCTTTTGTTTTTGTTTTTCGATGGAAATATAGGTCCTTTTTTTCGCACCTAATCGTTGGTAGCCTAAGGGGCTATTCCAAGTTCGCGCGGACTGGTAGGTAAGCTCACGGGCTCAACCTGAGAGAATTGCTAACACTAGCTCTAGCAAGAGCAGTGCTTCGCTGAATCTACTACCAGATCGGAACTCTTCGTCAGAGTTGAAGAGTTCGACGAGGAATTATAGGTCCCTTGCCAGCTTCGCAAGGATGGATGGGTGAGCTCCGCATCAGCTAAGAGGGGGGCAGTTGCGAATGTGGCAGATAACGTCTTTGAAGTAGCACCTTTTTACTAGTGGTAGGACCTCTTGTGAATCCGCCCGGGTAGGTACCACCACCCCGCCTATTTCTGCCGTGAAGCAGTAATGCGTTTCGGTTTGAAGGGAAGGGCAGCCGTTGTAACTATACTTGAGATCTTAGAACTTATATCTCAAGGTGGGTGGCGCATTTACGTTGTAGATGTCTATGGGCACCAGTAACCAATTAGCACCAGGTGGGCTGTGAGCTCGTCCACCCATCAAAGCAATAAAAAAAACCTGCCTTTCTTGCAACACGGCAGTTGCTTCTCTACAACCAGGTTAGAATGGCGACCCGTAAGAAGTAGAAGAAATTAGTACCCACATCAGAAGTTGGATACCATTATAACCGAAACGTAAACATGCTATATACACCATAGAGACCCCAAGGCTGGTAGTGGATTTAACAGTAAGCCGTTACGTACTAAATCTTCCATATCTATACTTAATATTATAAAGCTGAAGAGTTTGTTTGTTTGAACGCGCTAATCTCAGGAACTACTGGTCCGATTTGAAAAATTCAGTATTAGATAGCCCATTTATATGAGGAAGGCTTTTTCGGTAGGCAGCGGCTTGGCTCTGCCCCTGGCATTGCTGAAGTCCATGGGCGACGGTAACCACTCACCATCAGGTGGGCCGTATGCCCGTCTGCCTACAAAGGCAATAAAAAAAAAAAAAAAAAAAAAACATCACGCTAAGACCAATACAAGTCGAGCACCAA